CTATGTACATATATGAATAGCTGTGTACAGTATAATTTCTATAAGTCGAACCCTATTGAAACGATTTTTGAAATATTTAAATATAATTCTGGAGAAATGTATAGCCCCCCTTAAAGCTACTACTACTACTTCATTAAATACACTTTGTAAAATTAATCTTAAGCTTCACTGTATTAATGCTTATCTGCATATGGAACCCTCTCTACTCTGCAACCCCTTAACCCTCTTTAAAGCTCGTTCTTTGCTTTTTAGCTGTCTTTAAAATTCATGAATGCAACAATTTCTGCATCGCCTGCACTTTAATGTATAAAGTTTAATTCACAGAATGAGCTTGTGTCATTCCCGACTTGATTCGTCGCGTAATGGAGTGATCTCTTTCGCTCCGGAGTCTCATGTTTGTCACTTTAAACGTTTAAACGTTTAATAAGGGATCTCTTGATTGAATTAATATGCCATTGTTGACCAACGGCCGCTGCACATGATCCCAGAAGCTAGTTAATTGAATTGAAGTTGCAGCCGCAGCCTCAAGTTGTGAACTTTTAAACTTTTCGTAGCTTCTTCGCCTCTCAAGTGGCAGAAAAGCAATGCGGAATAGATGGAAAAATCAGGGAATAGATTGAGATTTATGGCAAAGATTGGGGAAATGTTTAAAGCAATTGAACTGCAGAGATTTAAGCAACATTCTTATAAGAGATTTAAGACATTTCTATCTCAAAATACTTAATAAAATATTTTAAAAAATATTTGTATATTAACTCTTGCAAATAAATATATTTCTTTGTATGAAATATATATCGTAAAATGTATATTCATCTTTTTTAGTATCCCTTCTATACTCTTTTATTTTCAATTCATGATGAAATCCCACCCTTTGTTTGATATGGCCCATCTCCTTTGATCCTCCTCAGACATGAAGAAACCGGATCATTTTCTTTCATATTCCATTCCATTTCTTGATTGTTCAGTTTCTATTTTGCAGATACGTTCCACTCTCTTACACACACACACACACACACCCACAACAGTGACCCGCACTTTGTGTGAAAAGAACTTCAATCTGAAAATCTCTTTCATACACAAGTTTATCAAATATTTTCTATTTGCGCCTGGCTCTTTTTCTCCGTTTTTTGTTTACATTTTCGTGTCCGCTGCCTTCTTTCCGGCCTTTCAATAAAATACAAAATGTGGAACGTAACCGCACACCAACACCATCCCAGGGAGCGCGCACACACAGATACGCCTGTATCTCACAGATACGCCGACGAAGTCTGGTATTTATTCTCGTGTTTGTTTTGCGCTGCGCCTTCATCCCGCCGTCCGCTTTGCGCTCCGTTGGATCGCGTTGCCTGCTGGCTGGCTGGCTGGCCGACTGGCTGGCATCCACAGCCACAATCGTAGGTAACAAACAGTTTCGAAGCGTGTTTCAAGCCGTCAACGTCAACGGTTTTCCGCCAGCGGACAACTGCGACGGCGCGACGTATCCAAGCGATACTACAGATACACCTCGCAGTATCTGCTCCCTCATTCTGCTATTCCATCTTTTCCCACTCCGAGTGTGTGTTTGTTCATTACGAAAGCGGTAATGCCAATAGATAGGAGTAGTGAAGTGAAGTCTATCTGAAAGATGCATCCACAAGACGCAGAGTGAAGTTTCAATAAAAAAAACTAACAATCCTTGATTGTAAGGCTCAAATAAAGCTGAATCAAGTGAAATCTTAAAGCTACACTTGAATAATAACCCGGAAAATCAACAAGAAAATATTTATTAATATAAAATGTACCAGAAAGCCATTATAAATACACTAAATATTGTTTTTAATCTTTAAGATTTACAAACTCCAAAGTTAAAGCCAATAAATATCAAAAGGAACTTCCATTTAGCAACACAGAATCGCTGTGAGACTTCGGGCAACCGGGAAACAGAAATTATAGCTCAATCCGACATCCAATCCGTAATGCTCAGCGGAGCGCAGCTGTGAACATTTCACTTTCGGTGCATCCAACAGATACGGGCGATTGTTGCACGCCGCCACGCGGCGCTCCGCTCCAAATTTGCAACGCAAAGTTGGCTGGTCATTGGCTTTTGCCTCTTGGCGGCAAGAAACCTTTTGCACGATGCAAATGTCTCTACAGACACAGAGAGGGAGAGAGCTAGATAGTCGACATCTATGAGATACTTTTTCCCATTCGTTGAGGTGCTCATGGCTGTGTTGGAGTATAACATGCTAATTTGCACCGAAACTTTATGGGAGTGTTAAGTATCTGCGAGAGCCACTCGATGACGCCTCGTTCAGGTATTTGCCTATATATACATATATGCAAATCGACTCCCAATAGAATCGACAAAAAAATCAAGATTGAGATCGCAACTGAAATCGAAACCAAAGTCTAAACACCGTAAAGTTGCAGCAAATAAGAAAAGGTTTATTTATAAATGATTACCTCAATTTGTGGGATTTTCCGCAGCTACACAGATATCTAAATAGAAGTATTTAAATATATTACGCCGTGTTAACAACAAAAACAACACCAATTGAAAGTGACATCAGCCTCGAAACTTTATTATCGCGAAATTCCTCAATTTTGCACTGTATTTCTTGTTCCTTTTTGTTATTTATTCCCCTTTATATTTATAATTATACATGTGTTTATTTTTTGTGTGCTTCAAGTGCCCAAATTACGTGCATTCATATATGCGATATCGCAAAGCAAACAAGTGATACAAATACACAAATGAAATCTCTATAAACATGTCATACGAAACCAATTAAATAATCAAATTAATCGCTTTGATTCGCTCAAAGTGCATTGTATGACAGACATTTCTATCTAAGCCAAACGAAACCCAAACCAAATTAAGGCAAACACAATGAAGTTTCCGGATTATGTCCCCAACAACATGCTGGTGGTAAGCATAAGCATAAGCATAAGCTTAAGCAGTATTTTCCTCATAATTAAAGTCATTAAGAGTGCGCACTAACTGGGCCATAAATCAAACTGCTGTGACTTAAATTATGGCGTACAAAAAGGGTGGAGTAGAACCAGTAGAACCCAGTAGATAAACAGTAGATAAACAATCTGATGAATGCCGGGGCATTAGCAGATGAAGGTTAAGTTACAAAAGTTCTCTTCAGGGTTATGCTTTTCGGAAAACCAAGGAGAACTTTCCGGCAGACACACACGACAAGATTAATTACTCCTACATATATTTGGCATAAAGAAAGTCTTTTCCGCACGCCTTCCTTTGGCTGCACCCCATTAAATTTCCAACTAATTTCACTTGCAATTAAGTTAATTATAATTTTACCGCCCCCATCAAAATGCATTAAGTCGGTCAAAAAATCCCGCAACATAAACATTTCATAAATCTTCTTTCATGTTTTCAACTTCCCCCTGCAGCTTAATGCAAGCGAAGCATAACCAAAAACAAAAAAAGTATATATATATCTCTGATTCAGTCTGATGCAAATTCATATACACCTGCAGAGGGCCCAGACTGCATCAGAAATAAAAGTTTATAAATATTTATTATGGCCCACGCGACTAGATGAAATTTGTATTTTTTTTGTTAGTTAATTGTGTTTATCTTTTTATTGTTTATTATTTATACTATACTAAGGCAGCCGCCAGCCCACGCGTGGAATCTGTGTGTTTTTTTGTAGAGTTTTGTAATTGGATGCGTCGTGTTGCGTCTGGCTGTTAAAATTATTTTTGTGGCGCCCACCTGAGCCGAGCGATTTAATTTTTTTCAAATTTTAAAGGGGATTGGCTGGCTCGCCAAACGACAGATTTGAAATTGATTGCATTTTCGAATTGCCATGAAATGAATCACGGCTCTTGCATGCAGGATTTTGAAACAGCTTGATGGGATTTGTTTTTAATTGATTTATCTTCATTTTGTATTGGATTTGTGTAATGATTGAGAGATTGACTCGGATCTCTCAATTGAGTTTTGTGTGTCGGTCGATACGGGAATTCAGTTCCAGCCCATCGCCTGCTGTGAGGGTAAATGAAGTCAAACTAAAGTGATTTGGTAATTGCAGGTGGTAAATGGGGAGTGAAAATGTGTGGAGATTGAATGAAAACATCAATTAAATACCAAAACTTGTTGAATTATAAAGTTGGATATTTTTATGCGGGTGTTTACCACAAAGAAAATCTAAAAATAATAGTCAGAGTGGAGTTCTTGTGTGCGTGTCTGTTAAACAAAAGAAAGTCCTAACACGTAGATAATTATTAATGATTAGTGTTGATTTATTAGATTTCTTTGACTTCCAGTTTTAAGCAGAATATTTCTGGCTCAAAAGAAAGCTCTCTTAGGTCATTAAATCAATTTATTGCCAGATTTATATGCCACCTTTCTAGTTCTTCAATCTGGAACTTTATCCATTCTCTTTTATAAGATCCCATTTCAAAGCTACATAAAATATACTTTATTTATCTTCAATTTCAGTTTCCTTTTTCAATCAAAATCCATTCGTAAACAAATAGCTTTATAGCTTTATTTAGTTCCGCTTGTTGTCATGTGCATCCATCACAAAACCAGAAAAAGAAAACACCATTAAGTCACAACAAATGCACACAAAACAAGTACCATTTTTGTCTTTATTTTTACTATTATTTTTATTACTATCCCACTAACCCTTTTAGGCATTCCTGCTGGAACCTCTAGTGCATAAAATTGAATTGTTCATGGGTCGTTGTTCAAGGGCCCGGGTACGAGTATGTAAAGCGAATGGAGAAACGGAAGTCACATGTGCATTTCCGCCTGGCAGCCATCCTTAACAAATTCCAATTAAAATATATTGAAATAAATTGAAAACGACAGCATAGCATAGGATAGAGAAATGTTATCTCTCTTCAAATGTCTATATTAATACCAAAATCTAAATGTTTCTGTGTTTAAAAAAGTATACACAATGTATTTAGCGTTCGAAGTTTATTTATACAAAAATGTATAGAATTTAATTAAATTTTTAATTATTATTTAATTTTTGCAGGGTGATCGCACCACCTGGGAGTACCACACAGTGGCTGTGACCCGGGTTCCGGGATATGGCTTCGGCATTGCCGTTTCCGGTGGACGTGATAATCCGCACTTCGCCAACGGTGATCCCTCGATAGCAGTCAGTGATGTGCTGAAAGGTGGCCCCGCCGAGGATCGATTGCAGTAAGTATGCCGAATGGATGGGAACCTGGCTGGGATGACTCAACAGATGTGAATGACCCTCCTTCTCCTCCTAGTGGGTAGCACTATCGAGGCAGGAAACTAATTGTTGTCCGACACGATGAATATGCCCCCATGCAAGTTGATCAAATAAAGTGCAGACTAAGCATTTCCTACAGTTCCCTCAGTGAGCATTAGGAATGCTCCTCATGCCGCTGACAATTGACATCGTTAATCTTGGGCTTAGAACTTCTTTTTTTCTATTTTTTCTCCCCACTCCTTCGAGAGATAAAACCCGAAATGCGCACACTTCAATAATACTTCAAACTCACGTAGCAGAGCCCCAAAAATAAAAACGTATATGTAATTAAGCCAACGCCTCGACAGCTCCATCTCGGTCTCTCTGAAGCTCCGGTTCTCTTGTCGATAATAAAAATTCCAAAGCGTTTTTCAATCGTCAACGACAGACGACCCGGCCTGGCCTAGCCCTTCCCTAGACTTTTCTGGTGATTAAAAACTTGTCATAATCTGTTTTTCTCAAGAAACTATTTACCCTGGCCCCGACATGCCGGTAACTATTTCCAGCTTGTCCCTTTGCTTACCTGCCTCAGCTGGGGAATTTCAAAAGGAAAATCCCGCCGCTGAGGCTGGAAAAATGTTTGCCAAGAGAGCGGAGAGACAAGTGGAAATTAGCAGCGGCCCATCATCACATGTCCCGGCGACCTGGCCCAAAAGCCTTTGGATTCATTATGGCCAAAGTTTCACTGTTATGCAGCTGGCACGTAGGAGACACTTGAATAAAAGTTTTAGGACTTAGCAGTTAACTTAATAAAGCTTAAAACAATAGAGAAAATTTGTTAGAAAAATATATATTTTTTTATAAATTATCTGCTTATTTTAGTAGAGTTTTTTATGCAACAATTTTCCTTTTTCTACCACTTTAAAAATATATTCTACACTTCTTTTTGTTTAAAAAACAAACTTGCTTGACTTGAGTGCATTTTAGCTTAAAAAAATGTTCATAAAAAAGTAACGTAACTATTTCTGAGTGCAAACCCATGCCATTCCCTGTCGCATTTTCCGCATTTTTCCCCGGCTTAATTGCTAAGCCGCTTCGCTCCGCTCCAGACTCAGTGGTTCCACCGGCGGCGAACAGAAAGTAAAATGCGGCTTAGTTTGGATCGACGACTGGCCTCTTCTTTCTGCACTCGTAGACAACTTAATTATGGATATGCTTCGCCTCAGACATGCAATATAATTTTTCCATCATTAACCACTTTGTCTGTACACACTTTGTGTTCCGTGTGTATCCGTGGTTATATGAGTACACAAAAGTATAACATTCTTGTCTTGGGGATTCGTCATGTGCTATTTACTATTTGCCATTAAATTTTTACTTTTCATTCCACCACTTCGGTGTTCCGTTCCAAGAACGGTCCGTAATTGTTCGGGCCTGCGGAGGAATTCCTCAGAAATCCACGGAAGCCGCTTAGCAGACGCCTCGATTCACGGCTCTCAATTTGCTTGGCTCTCGGGCTCTATTACTTCCAGTCTAGTCATGCTGAATATCTCGGACAATTGCCCGTTTATTAGCGTATGTCTTCAATCCAAGTCTAACCTGATTTCCCTTGGAGTGGCGCGTAGATTGAGACCCAGAAGTCGGCTATCTACCTGCCAGATAGCATTGCAGTCCAGTGGTCCGAAACATTATGTATCGTCAGCCGGAGGGGTTTCGGGTTTCAGGTGTGTGCTACTGTGGATTATTTGGCATACCCTGTACTTAAAATATTACCAGGAGTATGATGAAGTAAAGGTTAACTATAGGGTCTCTGTTTCCATTTGTAGACAAGCCTGGAAATTAACTTTAGTGTCATGTAGGTCAATATGATAGTAGATTCCAATATGAAGTATCTGATATAATTGTTGATGAACTATATAAGTATACTCCAAACAATCTAACAGGAAAAACCAATATCCTTATAAGTCTCCAACAATGTATAGCATAGAAAATATTAAAAAGTATAATTGTTTTCTTTCATATCTAAAATTTTCATAACTCTAGGGTATCTGCTTGTCTCAATACACCCATGAAATGTTCTTCTTAATTATGGCTGCAAGTCTAATGACTGTGTAGAAATGGACAAGGTCGTTGCTAATGACCTGCATATAAACAGAGACCTGTACTTCTCTAGTTTGGTCACGATTCGGTCATTAGAGCAGGGTTTACGAGCTACCCGGCAATTACCGAAAGCAGCCAAGTGATCTATATACACTCGACAGGCACTAAATCCCCGCCCTTTCCCTCTTTGCAGAGTCAACGATCGTATAATATCGGTGAACGGGGTCTCGCTGGAGAACGTGGAGTATGCGACTGCGGTGCAGGTGTTGCGGGACAGCGGCAACACCGTTCAACTGGTGGTCAAACGACGCGTGCCCCTCAACCCCGTCAATCCAGCTGCTGTGCAGCACCAGCACTCGCACAGCCTGAGCTCTGTGGGTCTGGTGGCCAACGGCAGTGGTGGAGTTGCTCCGCCGCCGACCATGTCGAGCCTGAGCCAGCCCAACTCCTTGAACTCGTCGCTGGTACAGAACGCCAGCGGGGGCCAGCCCATCAAGGTCACGCTGACGAAGGGCGGCAAGAAGGACGACTATGGAGTGGTCCTCGGCTGCCGGTTGTTTGTCAAGGAGATCTCTTCGAAGGCCCGCGAGCAGCTGAATGCCAATGGGTATAGTCTCCAGGAGGGCGATATTATCACCCGCATCCACAACACCAACTGCGGGGACACGATGAGTCTCAAGGAGGCCAAGAAGATCATCGATGGCTGCAAGGAGCGCCTGAACCTGGTGGTCCTACGGGACATCACCAACCAGGCGACCGTCAGCCAGCTGAATCTGAACAATTCGGCCATTAGCCATCAGCCGTCGGGTAACATTTATGCCAGCCATCAGGCCCAGGTCTCTGGATGCAGCAGCGGCAACAATAACCTGGAGGATCCGTACCTGCCCGGCGGAGCAAGCTACTCCTCACAGAATCTGTATGTTCAGCCCCCCACACGAACCTCCAATGGTCCAAGCATGAATGGCAATGGCCTCAACGACGAGAAGAGCAATCTTACGCCTCGCGGTCGCTCCCGCGGACCCCTAATCGACGGAGTGTCGCTGCAGCAGCTGGACAGACCCGTAACACCAACGCGCGGCAGAAGCGGAGGCGCTGATGAGCCCCCACGCCCACCGCCACCAAGGGGCTCCAGTGGCGGAGCCGCCCAGGAGGACTTCTACAGCTCCCGCAGGCAGCTATACGAAGAACGGCAGAGTGCCGAGCCAAGATTCATCTCCTTCCAGAAGGAGGGAAGCGTGGGCATCCGCCTGACCGGCGGCAATGAGGCCGGTATCTTTGTGACCGCTGTGCAGCCGGGATCTCCGGCATCGCTGCAGGGCCTGATGCCCGGCGACAAGATCCTCAAGGTCAACGACATGGACATGAACGGGGTGACGCGCGAGGAGGCCGTGCTGTTCCTGCTCAGCCTGCAGGATCGCATCGACCTGATTGTGCAGTACTGCAAGGAAGAATACGACGAGGTGGTGACCAACCAGCGCGGCGACTCCTTCCACATCAAGACCCACTTCCACTGCGACAATCCCTCCAAGGGCGAGATGGCCTTCAAGGCGGGCGACGTATTCCGCGTGATCGACACCCTGCACAACGGTGTCGTGGGATCGTGGCAGGTGCTCAAAATCGGACGGGGACACCAGGAGATGCAGCGAGGCGTGATACCGAACAAGTCGAGGGCCGAGGAGCTGGCCACCGCCCAGTTCAATGCCACCAAAAAGGAGATGAATGCGAACGAATCGAGGGGAAACTTCTTCCGGCGACGACGGTGAGTTCAATTATTTAATTAACAAATTAATTGTATTAATTGCATATTTATTCCTTTTATAGCTCCACGCACCGCCGCTCGAAGAGCCTTTCCCGCGAGAACTGGGACGACGTCGTCTTCTCCGACAGCATTTCCAAATTTCCCGCCTACGAGCGTGTCGTTCTGCGTCATCCCGGCTTCGTGCGACCCGTCGTTCTCTTCGGACCCGTTTCCGACTTGGCTCGTGAGCGTCTGGCCAAGGATTTCCCCGACAAGTTCTCTACTCCTCTGCAAGATGACGACAAATCCGCTGGAAGTAGTGGCAAGTGCCGAATTGTTCGCCTATCGAACATCCGGGATGTGATGGATCGCGGCAAGCACGCCCTGCTGGACATCACGCCCAATGCGGTGGACCGCCTCAACTACGCCCAGTTCTATCCGGTGGTGATCTTCCTGAAGACGGACAGCAAGCACGTGATTAAGCAGCTGCGCCATGGCCTTCCGAAGGCGGCCCACAAGAGCTCCAAGAAGCTGCTGGAGCAGTGCCAGAAGCTGGAGCGCGTCTGGTCGCACATCTTCAGCACTCAGATCGGGCTGAGCGACGAGGAGTCCTGGTATCGAAAGTTGCGCGATTCGATTGATCTGCAGCAGAGCGGCGCCGTCTGGATGTCCGAGTCTAAGGTGAGTCTATTTTGTCTTCGCCGGGCTCCAATTCCCATTCCTCACTAGTTGTTGTCTGCGTGTATGTCCCACGTCGTAGTTAGTCCTTAAGTCTGACCTAAGCATCTCGTGGATGTCGTGAGTCCTAAGTAATCTCTAATATAACGATGTTCTAACTGTCCGAAAAGGTGATGGGAAATAGGGTTTTTTAAGAATTTTAAAACTTAGAAGAGCATAGAAAATAATAGGGAGGTTCCAGTTATAAATTAAACTATTACTTTCATAATGAATGAATAAGAACAACGAATTTACTTATTTATAAAGTAAAATCTACTAAGAAGGTATGTGATATAGAAATAGGTAAAAAGATAATACCCTTATTAAAAGAAAACAAAAATCCCTGTAACAAAACTGATATATGTATGAGGCTTTTAGCTTATGAACCCAAAATCCTTGATACCAAGTTTATTATATATTATTCCTTATATAACTCAGCACGTTTATAGGTCAGTTAGCTTATTTCCCAAACACTTAACTATCCAAGTTTCTGAAACAGTCTAGAAATGGAATGATTAATTTAAAACTTTTCAACAATAGTTTATTTAGTACCGGAATTATAGTTTTTTTTTACGCTTATGATTGTGATTATCCACTTTTAGCAGAACTCTCCCAATCCCTTAACCCTTATATTAATAATTTATTGTAGTTAAATCTTAAACTAATTTTTATATAAACTCTATAACTCTTTTATTTCTACAACTGGTTATGGTCAATATTCTAATTTTTACTTTCGAAACTTTTTCTTATTCGTTTTTTAAACCACACACAACCCACACACACACACATGAACATGCCCATGATTGTTGTCTACCCGAAACTCGAATAAAATAAATAAATAAATAAATAAATAAAAAATACTAACAGTTCCCCGATTCCCCCACCGAAATGTTATTCCCTCCCTATATTGCTCAGCCCTGCAAGTTCGCCTGCTGCCGCCCTATGGCCTCTACCTCGGTGCCCCGCTACTCCCAGAACCTCAATCTCAATTTCAATCTGAACACGAATCCGAATCAGAGTCACAGAATCCGAGGCCACACGCCTCCGCCGCCACGGCCACCGCCGGTGGGCTATGCCCACAGCCAGAGTCTGGCGGAGAAGCCCCGGAATCGGAGCTCCTACACCATGGTGCCAATTATAAAACCCGCATCCTCGATGCCCAATGGCCTGGCACCGCCAGCCGATCCCACTCCGCTGGACAATGGCATTCTGGATGATAATATCCTGTCCATGGAGGGCTATCACAGCTCCCAGCCGAATCTCATGAGCCAGAGCTACGCCTCCAGCCAAACCCCGCTGCACTCCAGCTCGAACCTGAACGGAGGCAGCACGAGTGCAGTGAATCAAATGAATCACTCGACGAGTGCATCCAGGGGCTTTCAGCCCGGACCAACTCCGGTCAGCCGCTATGGCCTGCGTCCCAATGCGCCCGTGGAGCGCCGGACGACGCCCTACTACTACCACGAGCTGCTGCTGCAGAAGAACCTCTTCGACTCCAGCCTGAACCTGCTGCCGGCGGATCAGGCCAAGAGCAAGAACAGCAATCTGCAGCTGGAGCTGGAGCAGCAGCAGCAGCATCTGACAGATGCCAGTGCCTTGAAGAGGGCGCCGATGGCCAAGCCACAGCAGCGATTGATCGGCAGTGGTCCGGGTGGCCTGGTCGGCCGCAATGGCTACTCCTCCTCGGGCTCCCTGAGCAATCTCCTGGGCAATGGCAACGGGAGCAGCGAAGGCACCTTGGTGGACGAGGGCAACTTTACGCTGGCCTTCAATAATCTCACCAGTCAGATAGCCAGTTTGAATAACTCGAGTAGCAATCACAATAATAATAACATGAATAATAACTGTAGTAGTACCAGCAGCCACAACAACAACAACAGCAGCAACAATAACAACAGCCATCACAACAACAGCAATAATAATAACAATAATAGTAGCAACAATAATAATGCTGATTCCAACAACAATGTTGGCCAAAGTAACGAATGCATTGCATGAGAATCGGTGTTAATTTAGTTGAAAAGAAGGTCCCCAGAATGATTGGAATCATTTTCCTTGGCGGCACAACTGACTTTTCAGCTGAATCTCCAGTCTCCTTCCCCCTCTCTATCTGTATCTCTGTCTGTAATTATCGCATGTAGTTGTTTACAAAATTAATTAAATTATTCATAAGCCCAATCAAGCCCCCCTCATCATGTAGCATGATCAAGAACAATAATAATATTGCTATACGTTATCTCTATGTACATATAAATGTGTGTAATTTGTGAAGCTAAAAGCATGTAGAGAACTCATGAATATCATGAATAATCCCAGGAGCCCAGGAAAATGTCATTATATTCAGACTTCAGAGATCTTAAATCTCATAATCAATCATAGTTGCATTTAAAAACAAGTCCCAGAAGTCTAATGACAGCTTCCGAAGCTCCGATTCCAACTCTACCCCTACTCCCCATCGATATCGAAAAGTCCCGGAATATTAATTGACATACTTAGGCTTAAGTCTCAACATTTATGCAAAAATCTCCATACAAATTTTTGCCAAAAATATTTTTATAAAGTTGCTAACTAAATGTTTTTCGTTTCATTTGTTTCTTTTATTTACATACCAAAAAAAAAAACCAAAACCAAAACCAAAAATACATCATCATGGTCATTTCCCGCTTAATCACCCCGTAAAACTCGATGCATATATTAAAACACACCGCCAAAAATAATCAAAATGTCCTCGTCCAAAACTAAAAACCAAAAATATCCAACTATGCCAAATATATCTTGTGTTCGTCCATACATTACGTATCCCAAATGCTTCGCAATCGAACGCCGTTCAATCAATCAATCGAATCGAATCAAATCGAATCAATCATAAATTTGTAATGTTTCATCAACGTTTCTTGTTGCTGTTCTTGCGTTTTATTTACTATCGAAACAATAATGTTGGTTGCTCTCAACGCGCTTAATTTGAAAACCAAAAATCTACGAAAACTACCGCTAAAATGATATTAACTCTTGCCAAATAAATTTGCGCCTAACGAACCCGACTCCGAAAAAAAAAAAAAAAAAAAATCCTGAAACCCCAGCCCGTAGAATCCCTCTCCGACGATTTCCTATTCCCCATGACCACCTCCCGACTCTCGTATGCATCAAGTCCCGAATCCGATTTGGAACTGAGTCCCGGCCCATCCGCATCATTGTCGCTTGGCAATTTGCCGCAGTTGGTTAAAGCGAGCTCAGATCCATCGATTGCCACTAATCAGGATAACTTGGATAGGGATAGAGACATAATTGGTGAAGGACTACCACCTCCATATACGGTAAGAGGTCGAAGAAACCAAACAACAAAATCAAACAAACTCAAACTCAGTCTAAGAAACAAACTTAGCATGCGCTTTCACTAAAAACCAAAAACTTCAGAGGTTTCCAAGCGCCCAACTCAGCTTCATTTAAACAAAAACAAACAAATGGTCAACAAAAATTGCTAATAAATAAATTTATAATGTTTAATTTTTGCATTAAAATTAAATCATTTGAAATTTAAATATACAATTTATAAGCATTTATGTATTACTTTTTCTATGACAACTTTTTAAACTAATTAAAATATGTGTTAAATATTATGAAATATTCACTTTTAAGAACCGCTTCTTATAGTAAATGGTAATATTTAAATTCTTTAGAAGAGGAAAAGCTATTGGAAAGCTTTCCAAAAATAATCTCTTACCAAAAACTCCTCTTGTAATGAAAGAAAATGCAAATTTTGTTGACCATTTCTATCAGTGTGCTAATATTTTTCGCCACCCACTCACGACCCTTGCAATGCACCTGCTGCAGGTACCCTACGACCATGGTGTCCCCGCGAATCCCAATCGCCGCCAGACCATGGACTCCAGCAAGTACAGCATCTACGGCACCAATGTGCCACCGCAGCAGCAACAGCAGCAGCCATCTGGAGTAGCAGATACCTCTGTGGTCCGGCCACAATCTCTGTACGGTATCAATGCTCCAGATCTACCTCCACGCATCGATCGTCAGTCTAAGCCGGGGGATCTGCCCCTGAACACCTCAGGATCCTCGTCGCGAAACGGAACTCTGGGTCGCAGTGCACAGGAGCGTCTCTTTGGCAAGGCCGTGATCCAGGACGACGTCCAGGCGGAGTACATCACCCGAAATGCTTTGGTCGGGGCTGGTGGAGCTGAGACCATGGAACGCCAGCAGCAGCAGCAGCAAACTCACGCATCCTTGGAGCGTCAGGCACGCCTGAATGCTCAGCTTAAGGCCAACGGCGGCGGCGGAGGAGGTGCTTCCACCTACGACAGCGTGTCCAGCTACGACTCGTACAACAACACCCAGATGGCCATGCAGAACCTGGGCCGGCTGGGTCCCAATGCGCCCGACGATCTCAAATCAGTGCCAAATGCAAGGTGGGTTTTTGTTTATTGACATTTATGGCACTATCTATAATGAATATGGATCTATTGCAGTGGTCGACCCTTGCCGCCGGTGGGCCAAGGCCATGACTATGGCCGTACGCCGCACGATCATCGCAGCTTCGGCGGTCCCAACGATCTGAACCGCCAGAGCAGTCCAGGACGACCACATTACCATGAAATGAATGCGTCCCGTAATATCGGTGAGTAAACGTGGGAAATTAAAGCTAATAAATCAACTAAACAACTAAACAACAATTAAATTTATACATACTTCAATTTTATAAACGATTTAATATTCTTTTTCAGATCCACGCAATGGCAACCCGCAGCGCCCTTCGAATTTGGGCCTGGAAAGCAGTCCGCGCAAGCCTTTGGTGGAAACCAAAACGGATTACGGCAAATACAGGTATGAAGGGTATATCCCTATGCCATTTTCAAAGACACTCCCTGAAAGAACTGTATATATAAGGCGTTAACTCGGTTAAATCTATAAAAAGAAACCCATTTATTTTCTCTTTCTCCTGCGACGGCGTTCGTTGTCAACCCACTTGCATGCATTGTGTCGTAAATATTCTCTTGTATCTTTTCGAATATTATAATATATATATGACTCTGTATGTGTCCCTGAACCATTAGACGCTATCATCTCCATGCGCCTCATTTGAAGCACTTGCATTTGCAGCAGTCCATGTCGCCCTCGTCCTCGTTGTCGCTCTCACCTTCGCCTTCGTCCTTGCCCGTGCCTGTTTCCCTGCCCATGCCTCTGCCCCTTCAACTGCCACTGTCCTGTGGCCTTCAATTGAGCCACCAGCAGCACTTGCGCCTCACCTCGGGCGGCTTTGATCGTCGTCCAATCGCTGCACCACGTCTGCATGCTTTGATGGCACCACTGCCACCACCTCCAGCCCTCATGTCCGGTGTCTCCGCTTACGATACGCTGGTCTAAGCTAAAAACGAACGATTCGAATGCCATTTTAAAACGAAAATGCACTCTAAAAACCCTCAATTTATGTAACCCTTTCTGAGATGGTGTAAACACCATTTACCCGCTATTTACTTTCTAATCAACTCGAATTCCTTGCCTTGTGTATATAGAAGCCCGGCCTTAAGAGCAATAAACGATAATTATATTCACGACCACACCCTGACTTTTGTATAATGTCTAAGCGCTTGATTTTCGGGGATTAATATTGACCATATTTTATCATAATTATATTTAAAATGCAACTATAAATGTGTTCTTTTTAATTTATTTTCCCACCTTTCATTATCAATCCCCGTAATTAAGTATTTATCATATAGTTGTCACAGATGTCCTTATAATTACATGAACTTTTTCTCTTTCCGGCTTATGTTTTGTGCTCGCCATCATCAACAACATCTGTTTTTGTACGATCACAACCCAAACCCACAACCCACTATGCAAATATATATATCACCCAATCCACGATCCCCCCGAACCCCATGAACCAACAGTCGCAACAACTCCGTGTCGCAAGCGGACTACAGCAAGCTGCCGAAGACGGCGCCACACGGTGTGGTTCCGCCACCGAACGTGACCAATGGCCAGGGCCAGATGAATGGCAGCGGGACGCCCAGCAGCAATGGCAGCGGTCCCTTCAAGCCGGTGCCGCCGCCAAAGCCTAAGAATTACAGACCCCCGGTCCAGAGTGGTGGCAGCAGTGGCAGCGGAGGTACAACTCCCTGGGAGAATGGGGTAAGTCAGAGACAACTTCAACTAGCTTTTAAGCTAACCTTTTAACTCACTTTCAGGACTCTGGTTCGCCACGCTCCCCCAATGGGTTCTACTATCCGCCAACGCCCTCCCATCACCACTATGGCCAGCAGGCGACTCCCGGATCGCCCAGCAACGGGCACATGCAGCAAACGCCGCAACAGCAGCAGCCCACCTATGGCGGATCCAATGGAAACTATGGACAGGCACCACCTCCGCAGCCTTATCCGCCGGCAAATGGTTACAACGGCAACAGTCACCACTACAATGGAGGCAGTGGGACGGGCCCCTACATTGCACCACATCGCGGCATGCCACCGCCAATAGGTGGGTGTTAAAGTCCTTAAACTAACTTGATTGTTCTATTTGCATTTAATTTAAATGTAATTTTAATAATTTTAATATTCATAGGAAACCTACCGCCCCACACACCCGAACGCCATGCCTTGGATCTGGCCGGAAGTCGGGAGCAGCGTGGCTCGGCCTTCGAGCTGTATCGTAAACCGCAAATCGGAGCTGCCGCTGGGCACCATCACAATATGAGGTGAGTCCACGCCATTTACTTGTGTAGTGCCCACCCATTATCCCATCTCCTGATAGATCCATTGATCCGCCAAGAGGAGGTCTTCCTCCCAATTTAAGAAAAAAGAACACACACAGAAACCAAACATAAAGAAATCTTCTTGAACCCTCCTCTCTCAATTTTCAACATTTGTGTTAACGAAAAATGTTTTATATTCTTGTTAAATGCCATTTTTATAAACTTACTATTGTATCGGCCAAACATTCAGTTAATCAGTCAGCCAAACAATCAGTCAATCAATCAATCATTATGCCAATCTATTCATACTTTCATACGGTTGCTGGTCATTACAAATTATTCGAAGCAAAATCTTCACTAAAAACGCACAACAACGAAAACCAATCGCATATATTACATGAATTGAATAATTATTATTGTATTTTGCAATAACCAAAATTATTAACCAAACTATAAAGCTTAACAAAAGAAAAGAAAATGTAAAATGTTGAGCGCCTCACGCACATAAAAAATCAAGACGAAAATAAAACATTTTTCGGGTTAACTTTAACTTGTTATTTAACTACAAAGTACAGATATTCGTATATCCACATTTCTCTACTCTCGAACTCAAACTCGTACTACTACTTATACGTTTCATGATCAGGCTCTCGGCTGATCCTTTTACCATAGCCTTACTCTCAATACACTTTTCGGGTATTTGAAAGTTCAACTTGAATCTAACTATGGTTTTGGGTAAACTCAACGGATAATAATGACTAACAACAAAATACTTAATGGTAATTGGTACTTACTTTTCTCTACAGTTTTGGTTAATTTGCAAAAGTAACTCATAGAGAAAATCTACATAGTTGTTTAAAATATGCGCTTGTGTGTCTTTAGCGAATGTTTTGCAGGAATAAATTGCGTTTCAAGACAAGGTTATATTTAAATATTCATAGTTTAAAGATCAAAAAAGAAGTCTTTTACGATCTGTGAACATATTTTCGATTTTTAAAACAATTCAGAAGCTTTCAATCTTCAAAACCCAAGTCTTAAAGTAACTCAACTCCTTGGAGTTCCGATCCCTGAAATAGCAGATTACAGATTCAGACCCCTTGCTAACCCACGTACACACATAACAACCCTTTAGCGAGATGGAGCCGTACGATGAGCGTTACAACGATTATTACGCCATGCCACCGCCCTCCAATCACCCTGCTTCCCAAGGACACCCCATGCACCGATCCCGCTCGGCACCGCGTTATCCCCACGAGCGGCCACCTGCCTCCCAAGATCCCAATTATTACGGGCACTATGGCACCGCCAGAGGTCATAGCCAGCCCCGCCAGCAATATGCTGCCCAGGAATACCATCAGTATTACGATGAGCATGGCATGGAGGTGGCACCACCGCCACTGCCGCCGCACAAGAAGAAGAAATCGGTGCTGAAGAGCCCTCTGGCCGCCCTCAAGAATGCCTTGATGAAGAGCACTCGGCCTTTGAGGCGGATGAACAGTATGGTGGAGCCGGAGCGGAAGCCCAAGGGACTGCGACGCCAGCAATCGATGCTGGAGCGCGGAGTCCAGAGGCCCTACTACCCGGACGAGTATCCCACCTATCCTGCTGGCTTTGAGGAGCGTTCGCATGGCATGATGCCGCCACATCCGCAGGATGTTTACTACCAGCGAGGCGGCGGCGGCGGTGGTCACTATCCGCCGCACCAGCAGGAGATGATGAACAGCACCTACCAGAACCTGGAGGGTGAGGATATCTACGGAAATATAGGCAACACCGTGCCGCGAATGCCGCATCCTCAGGACAATGGCTATGGCTACGATCAGTACGATCTTTACGCGAACCGAGCCTGCATCGATCTCGAGCGACGGCAGGCGGAGGCAGCTGCAGCAGCGGCTGCTGGGGGCGGTCGGAACGGAAGAAGGATTGTGCGCCGCCACAGCACCACCACAACGGATCGGGGAGGAAGCCAAGGAGGACCGCCTAAAAGACCCATGGTCAGTCCTGGCTACGAGCACGATCCCCAGGAGATCTACCAGACGCGCAACGGAGCCTACATGCTGCCCGACCAGCGCAGGGCGCCCAATTCCGAGGTGATGACCCGCCGGCGATTCTATCCGGGAGCCGCCAATGAGCAGACGGAGGAGGAACCGCTCTACCAATCCCGCCGCGAAATGCAGCGGGAGATGCAGAGAAACCACCTCTACCAGTCGAAGCGTGAAATGCAGGAGAGGATCAGCCAGGGCAAGCGCGACATGGAGAGGGAGTTCAGCCCGCAGAGCAGCAGCAGCCAGTCGGAGGCCTCCAATCCGGAGGCCATCTACCAGAGCCGAAGGGAGGCCAAGGAGAGAGCCCAGCTAAGGGATCAGATATACCAGACGAGGCGGGAAGCTCTGGACAGTATGGCGGAGCCGATATACGTGTCCAAGCGGGATATGGGCCGACCGGCGCCCATCTACGAGTCCCGTGAGGAGAGTATCCTTCAGTCCCGCGAAAACGAAACCGACGAGAAGAAGGAAAAAGAGGGCAAGACCGAGCAGGTTCAGGTGGAGATCAATGCCCAGCCGGAGGAGCAGGTCGAAGATTCAACGCTCAGTCGCTCAGATCTGCAGAAGTCTTCGGATACGGTCATTGAGAATCCGGCGAGGGCTCCTTTAGTTCAAGACGAGGTGGATGAAGAGGAACCGGAGGACCCAGCCGAGAGCTCAGCGGAGCAAACGGAGCAGGCCACGGCCATTGAGAACAATGAGCACAACGAGGGAATGCTGCAGTCCAGTGAAACGCAGAATGTGTCTAATGACGATGTCTTTGAGGCAGCAGATCAGGTTCCTCCACTGGCCCCACCGCCAGCTCCTGTCCAGCCACCAACCCCTCGTTCCGGCAGAGCACCCTTCCACATTTCGAATATCCTGAAGCGAACGGCTCCGCCTCCCAGTTCCCCCATCGGCGACAGTTGCACCTCCATCGAAACGCAATATACTTCGCAGGCCAGCCTGCCCGTGGGTCCTCCTAATGCCACCAGCACACCGTTCAGCAGCAGCATGTCCCTGCCCATCGCCGGACCCGTGAACCAGAATGCTCCCCCGGCCAATGGGCCCTTCCCCGCGTTGCCCCGTGAGCCCAGCACCTCGCGCGGAGTCTTTGACTCGAACGGCGGCACGCTGGCGGACAAGATGTGGAACGTTTCCCTGCAAATTCCACCCGGCGCCATTCCGGCCGGAGTGCGGCAGGAGATCTACTTCACCGTCAGCGATCCGCGAATGGGACAGGCGGTCGGGGGTCCCCCGCTGGACATGGAAAATGGTTGGTCTAACTAAAGAACACACACTCTACTCCGTATTGTATCCATCCACCAAAAAAAAATACACAGACACTTCCACAAGCCTCTGCAAGAAACTAAAGCAACCCACACTCGTGTATCTTTCGTCTCTGATTTTGATGTTGATTTGGATTGCAGCATTATTTTGTTTCATATTATGCGTATTATCCTTATTATGTGGTGGATGGTTATTTGCTTTAGTTAGTCTTATTAATCCCAAGTAGTCTCTGGTTTTTACTAATCTGTATGTGTTTGCTTCTTGCATGTAACTCCATATTCATTTATTTAAATTTTATTAATATTCCTCTTCCTTTACACTATTAATCTTTATATTTTAGAAATATTTCCTAATGTATTGCTATTATAACTTTTCTATTTTCTAACTATATTTTATATTTTTTTACCATTTCCTGATTTATTGTTGTAAGATATTTGAGTTTTTAGAACTTTTCTATGTTTTTTAAACTATTTTTCTGTTTTATTTTTGTAAAATAATTTGTGTTATTAGAACTTTTCCACTTTATTTAAATGTATAGAACCTACGTTTGCTGTTTTGTTTCAATTTACCTTCTTCTAAACCTTTTCTAAAACCACATTCAACAGGGCTGCCACAGAAATTGCCATTTATTTACAATAAATTTGAAGTATTTACTGACTAACACTTTTAGAGGAATATTAAAAGATCCTCAGCGATTTCTTTGGCATTCCTGTATATTTCTCTGTTCCCACTTACACTTTCTATATAACTTTATTCAATTTACACACTTTTTTAAACACAATATCAAATTGCATTTAAACACAACCCTAAGAAGTTGATCATCAATCTGATTTTTAATTGTTATTTACCATTTGCAATCGCAGGTGAGACAATGCTATCACCGCTAGTGATGTGCGGGCCGCAGGGCCTTGAGTTCCTGGTGCCGGTTACCCTAAACATACCCCACTGCGCCGGACGGACTGCGTCGCTGGGACTGGCCCTCAAGGCCACCGACAGCGAGAAGAATCTGCACACCGAGTGGGACAACATTGATCTGCCCAGCAATGCGGCCGCCCACACAGTCTCCGTGAAGGTGGACCACTTCTAATCAGCAGCATCGCTCATCCAATAACCATAAGCTCGAACGATAAACGCAATTGTAAATAGATACATAATATTATTTTAAGGCCGCATTTCCAGGGCAAGCGAGAAACTAGGCATTGCTTATAATATAATAATTAATAATTATAATAATTAATTAATTATATTTAATTTAAACCAATATTGTCTGTTGATTGTGCCTTTGAGTGATCGTTTGGCTCTGCCTTTGAACTACATACATATATTATTGACCTAGAAACCTACGAATCGAATGCAAAGGATATTTGTAAAAAGCGAGACTAGGATATAAGTTTCTTTAAAAACCATTCTGTATATTTTAATGCAAGTAATTACCGTAATCGATATATTTACATAATTTTAACACATTTTAAATGATTTATTTGACATTTACTTAGCTATTCGTATATTGTTTCGACCCATGATCCATTACAATTGCATTCAAATTGTTAGTTGCTTGCAAATGTTGCAAGCAAAAGTTAAACATATACCATAAACATCTATATAAATCATAGCGATATCTTTAGGATCCTATACAAGCGCCTGTATAACCAGAAAAACCCCTAATATACAACTATTTATACGCATTTTTGTATTAAATTAAAATACACATGTGGAAAGCTTGGGATTAAATAAAAGAGCAAAATCATAATGGGTTTTCGTTTTTTAATTGTAATTTTGCTTCTTCCAAAAATATAATAAAATAAAACAATAAATATCAGCTGGTTTTATATACACGATATTTATTTGTTGTATACGTATGTAAAAAACTTGCACAGAATATATAGGCATATGTTTCCAAGTGCATTGAAAGCTAACAAAGACTCGCAAAGCACTTTAAATCTTACAGATTACACCGAGTTTACGCTTCTAGAGACTGATTAATTAAAATACAATTATAAAACTAAGCAAAGGAAACAATTAAACAGTCTGATGACAATCTGTCGAAGTCAATTCCCTACGTGGTTGGTGTAGTCACTGCCGCCGCTGCTGCTGGTGCTGGTGTTCCCGGTGTTCCTGGAACCGAGCCGGAGGTAATCGAGGCGGTGAGTAGCACCTCCTGATCTGGTATGACGGACACAGCCTCCTTCACGTATCCGTAGATGTGCTTGCGCGTATCGTTGACCACATCGCGCACCATAAGCTTAAAGAAGTTTGTGTGCAGCGGCGTCTCCGCATAACGCTCATACTGATCCAGGGAGTCCTGCAACTTCAGGGTTAGATCGTAGTTCTTCCGCACCACATCGAGTATTTGATCTTCCGTGGGCGTGGATAAGCCCTGCTCGGCCAGCCACTCCTTGATCTTGTTCTGGAAATGCTTCACAATGGCTAGGATATTCACCAAAGCGTTCAGCAACTTGATTACATCGTCCTTGTATTCGCATTCGGGCATCGTTGTATAGCGGAGAACTATAAATCGAAGAGAAATTAAAGTTTTCCGAAATAGAAAAGCTATGTACTCCTTACCCATTGCATGTATTTCCGTAAAGACCTTCTCCTCGCGGTTCAGCTCGTAGTAGAGCTCATCGTAGCTATTCGTGGTGGCCAAGAACGTGTCGCCGTACGTGATGAACAGGTTAAATATGTTCACCACTTGAAGCGACAGGTGAAAAATGTTGCACTTCTTCACCAGCGTCTGCTCCTGGTTGACCAAGAAACGCAGCAGCCCAATCAGCGCTGACCAGAGCTCCTTCCATGGGTAGTTCAGGCGCACGCGACAGCGCTTCTGGTAGCACAAAATCCGGTGGATCACCCCGATACACAGCAGATACAGTTCCATGGGGAACTTCTTCATCAAGTGGGACACTATAAACTCCACCAGGAGGTCGAGGAGAGTGGCAGCCAGAGGCTGCGACTTGCCCACGCGATCCACATTTAACTTGCGATGTCGCATCTGCGCTCGATGCAGCATCACCTTGAAGGTGAGGTTGCTGTCGTGCATCATCGAGTTGGCATACTGATCCTCCGAAATGCAGGTGAGAATGAGGAAGCACAGCTTCAGGTTGGCAATGCTCGACTCGTTCTTGTTGTCCTGCATCACAATGGAACAATACTGGAAAACGGCCACCAGCAGATTCGTTGGGTACTGCGTGATGTCAATTATCGGGGCATTGGATAGGTCCGGAACGGGTTGGGCCAGGCTCAAGGTGTTGCTGGGCGACGGTGGGGCACTGGACTCGGCCTGTGTGTGCGCCAGAGTAGTGATAAAGTTTCTGTTCAGATGCACAGCCTCGTACAGGGCCAAGAGGAGGCCATTGTTGGCCTTGATTTGCTGCACCCGTTCGCATCCCTCGTCCGACACAAACATATTGCCCACGATATTCGAGAGGGAGGAGAACCAGGAAGAAGACTGCACATTGTTGAGGCTCTGGATGTACTGGCGACAAAAATCTATGAGCGATTGCGAAATCATTTGCCCGTAGCTGGAATTAAGATAAAGTTTCAGTTATTATCGAAATATGATATGAGGAGGGAGCGTTGCTAGCTATCTACAATAGATACGCCAGGTCTTACCCATTTAGAGCCAGCTCATCTGCCAGTATGGAGAGCTGCACTACGTACGGATTGGTGGCCTCGTGCTTGCGGTAGTTCACCAAGATGGTCAATAGGATGACAATGTCATGGCCATGCTGGGTGCGGAACGTGGGATCGCTGAGCAACCGGACGAAGGCGTCGAACATGCTGTGCATCATCAGGTGCTCGAAGAGCGAGTTCTGATTGACGTTGTCCGTTCCCGTTACCAGGACTTGCAGCAGCTTCAGGCACATAAAACGGGCATTCTCCGGGACATCGCCTAGTAAAATGCGATTGCAGTACTGCATCAGAAGCTTCAGCCACTCGTCCATTTTCTCGTGGCCGAAGATCTCGTTGAGGATGTTGATCGAGGGGTCCGAGTTGGATTTCTTAAAGATCCCATAGAAGAGAGAGCACAGCGTCTGCAGGCTGTTGCACAGGCGCTTGGGATGATCTTCTGGGGGAAATTAGGGAATATAGGTGGATTTTGGTATATATACTGGGGCCAGCTGATCTACCCGTGTCTAGCATTTCGATGCATCTCTGGAAGAGTGTGTTCAGGTTGGGCTTTACCACCTGCAGCTGTTCGTTGTTGAGTTTCCCGATCTCGTTTTCCAGCGCCTCGAAATTCGGCTGCAGCAGAAAGAACTCGTTCCAGAACTCCGGGCTCTCGCTGCTGGGATCCTCGCCGCGGCACAGCAGCTCGTATATGTAGACCACCTGCAAATAAAAATCCAATTAACCATTAAAGATGCACAATCACAGTGGGTGGAGCCTCCGTCAAACACACCTTCTCCTTGGGCCGCTTGGTGGACCCGCTGCCGCTTCGCTTCCGTGAGGTCATGGTGGACAGTATTGTTTATGGGAATATAATTCAGAAACTCATAGTCCGTTCAAAGTAAAACCAGGAAGTTGGCAAAATAAATTGTACAAATATTTAACTTGATTTGTTGGAGTGCTGCCACCTGGCAAGTGTCGAAAGGTGCTAAAAATGGACGAATCGATGTGCTAAAAACCAGTCCCTAAAAAGAACGTTTTAAGCATTTTTTACTCTTGAAAACATAATTAACAGCACAAATTATGAATAAAAACACAGAAATAATTTATTTTAAAAATTATATTTAGCCTTACAAAAATTTCCAATTAGATATAACCTATCGATAACTGCTGGATTTTTATGCACTCAAAGCACGGCCACACTGTTCTTTCCCAACAGCTGTTTCCAAACGCGCAGTAGTTTCTGTGTTTTCTTTTCGCTTCGAATTTCACAACAATACCCAACTAGTTGTATTGATTTACTTAAATTACAATTAGCAAGTGAATATGTCTTTGGTCCGCAACTCATCCCGCCTGCTCCGCTCTCAGCTGAAGCGTGTGCAGAGCGTGCCGGTGGCCCTATACCACGAGAATGTGAGTTTCTTCCCCGATTTCCAATTGCCGCGCGGAATATGCTCTTTCGTAATATCTAGAAACCATATACTATACTTTTAAGACCCCACTTTGTTGTCGTTTTCATAGACAGCGTTTCAGACTGCACGCAAAGCGATAAGGCCGATAAGGAATCTCCCGTGACTAACAAACTTTTGTTGTTGTTCTTTCCGCCGTTGACAGGTCGTTGAACACTACGAAAACCCGCGCAACGTGGGATCGCTGGACAAGAAGGATGCCACAGTGGGCACTGGGCTGGTTGGAGCTCCCGCTTGCGGTGATGTGATGAAACTGCAAATCAAAGTGGACGAGAACGGCAAGATTGTGGACGCCAAGTTCAAGACCTTTGGCTGTGGCTCGGCCATCGCCAGCAGTTCCCTGGCCACCGAGTGGGTCAAGGGAAAATCCATCGATGAGGCCGGCAAGCTAAAGAACACGGACATTGCAAAGGAGCTGCGTCTGCCGCCCGTTAAGCTGCACTGCTCTATGCTGGCCGAGGATGCCATTAAGGCCGCTCTGGCGGATTACAAGGTCAAGCAGCAACAGAAGAAGGCAAACTAAGCAAAGTGTTTGTGTGTGTGGAAACGGAATCTGTGAATGTAGTGGAGCAACTAATAAAAAACTATAATAATCTACACAATACAATACAATACAATACAATACAATACAATACCATATACTATATAGAACACTTGGCATCAAGTCGTAGTATGCGATTATTCGCTAGAGCTCTGTGAGTGGTGAGTAAATTGGCTGTGAACACAGTGAGTGCTGGGTCAGAGGAACATATATAAAAGAGAATTTACAGTCTAAATAAAATAGTAAAGCTTTATTTTTATTAAGTTTCTCTCAACCCATTTCACTTGAGCTTCAAGCACCTCTACCGAACTGATTAATTGATTTCCATTGCAGATTGGCCGCGTGATTGACTGCTGATAAGTGCATTGCGAGTATATAGGATACGACATTGATTTAAACTGAAACGGATAGCTGAAACTGATCTAGTGTGAATGCATGTCCACGTGTGTGTATTTTAAAGGGGAATTACCTAGTCCCAAGAGCGAAATTAAATTATCTGTTCTGTTATGCAAAATATAAGCTTCCTTCGTCGATAAATAAATAAAACGTTCCCGTTGGAATAGAAAACATGTGAATATTTTATTGCACCATTTCGTGATTACAAGCTTATATGGACTGTCCTTAAGAGAGACGAACACTCACTCCACCGCCGCACTCACCTTTGGCCTTCTGCTCGAATGCTATAAATGCAAGGATTTATATAATATTAATTAAAATTGTACAATAAATATATAAATCAATACTCACGATCGTCGGCATGCTGGCAGTTGTAGTTGGCCATTACGCAGGGGCTACCAAAGGTAATGAGTTTCTCCTTGCTGCTGTTCTTGGCTCTGGCACAGACCGGATCGTACACTTCACCACAGTCCTTCTGGCATGCGTTGGTTGCCGGTTTCTTGTTGTCCTTGGCAGGAGAAGCCACGACAAAGGCCAACAGGCACAATGCTGGGAAAAGTAGGGTTTTGTTAATTTAAATCTCATTAATTAGTAATTAGGAACAAAAAATAATTCAGTCAGTGAGATCATTCAAAGAGCAAAGTTAACGCAAAAATACATTAAAAAAAATTAAAAGACCCACATAATCGATCTTTAATTCATTGTATATAATTACTTTACTTTTTTATGTGGTTTATTTTCGTTTTAAATAATAAAAGCAACATGTTTTGATCAACTGTTCACAGTTCTTCTTCAAATCTTCTACATAAATCTCTCTTTTAACCATTAATTAGACCCTTTTTGTATTTATTTTGTAGGTGAAAGGGTATTTACCTAGAAAACCAAACAGAGCGAATCGCATTTTGAATAACAAACAAAATTTCCACGAAATCACAAATTGAATATAGCAAAAAAAACCGGCTTCGAGTCGCGTTAAAACTGAACTGAATTTTAGACTGCGAGATTGATCACCTTTATATACGGGAGAGCTTGAAGCCCGGCTCATGAACAATAGAAAACCAGCACAGAGACACACATACGAAATATATATGCATATATATATTGCTCACCTCAACCCACACACAATCACTGATAGATGTGTATTAAAAACATCCAAGTAAACATAAAGTGCACTTGTTTATATGGGTATCAGCGGGATGACAATGGCGGGTCAACGAGATGATAATGATGATGCTATAGTAGCAGTACAGCCTCCGACGGACAGCAATTTGGATAGATAATGGGGTTTGATCAGGCTGGATCTGAGCATGGGCGGTGCTTGAGTGACACACGTTGCCGGTTGAAAGCGGTTCTCATTATTATATATTTTATTTATCCACTTGAAGGGGCTTCCCGCCCTAGTTGACATCCTGAAGAATCGGCTATAGACAAACTATGACCCCCCATTAAATATTCTTTGACTAGTGCAGGTTCCTATACTATTATTCTCTTGTTTTTAATTTAAACGATACAAATAAACCTATTTGCAGGGTATTATAATTTTAGTCAGAAGCTGAAAAACCCATGAAGGAGTCATTTCCGACCCTATAAATCATATATATTCTTGATCAGCATCAACAGGGGAATCTTTCTAGACATGTCCGGAAGAAATCGATTTTTTGGCCATTTTTGCGAAATTTGATAAGGGGTTACATCATTAAAATTTTCAAAAATATATAAAAAATTTTCATTTTTTTAAATTTTAAATTTGGAATGCAGCTTTTTTAAATGACTAAAAACTAACACAGAACCGCTTTCCGAATTGAAATTAATGCATTTTTGGCATAGTTATAATAGATTTCAAGTGTAACCTGCAGCTTTGGCTGGCCAAAGTAAGCTTTCTCTCTTGTTCTTACTCAATTTCCCAAATAAAATTATAAACAAAGTTAAAGTTTATAACCTGAATTTTTATGTGAAATTACTTTATACAACTTGTTCAGTTGTATAATGGTGATGCAACTGCTACCTTTGACAATAATAAAATTGAGAAGGCGTTGACGGTTGAATTCAATTTAAACGTCAACCATTATAATTTAGATATTATCCCAAAAATGGGGAAGTTAACAGACTTTAATTGGCCCAATTCCATGTCAACCTTAAAGGGCAAACGTGACTTTGAAGAAAACGTGATGTATCTCCACATCAAATATGTTTTTAACTTATGTTTAAACTTTAAGCTCTTGTTACTTTTAAATAAATAAATATTTAATTTTCTAGTGGGTTTGACTTTTGAATAAGTCTCTGTAAATGTTGCTTTAAATATAAGTTAAGGATTATAAATTTATTAATCCTCAGAAAATACAATGCAGAGTATTGATTCACCGGGGCTAGTTCTGATTTTGGTAATTTTAAAAATTAGTCCAATTAGTGCTTTCTACCTTGATAAATAGGGGTCAGTTTATTTTTAATTTATAATGTAAAATATCGAATGTTTTAAATCTTAGTCTTGTCATATTTATATATTACAGTTTGTCACCAAAATTCGAATTAATTAATTAATTATTAAAAAATATATTAAGCTTTTTTCCGTTGTGCGAATTTCAAATATTTCCCCTCGTCGCTAACTTGACAAGCACACCGACGCGAGCTGGCTGTGTATTTTTTAGTTTCGAGCAGACGGTCATACTGGTCATTAAAATAAATAAAATTACACTAAAAAGCAGTAGTTAGCATAATCGGGAGCACGTAATAAATTTGTAAGATGTTGAATGGACAGATTACGCACAGTTATCTGGAGAACGCTTGCACCCTGTTGATCCCACGCCCGCCCGCCCGGGATCAGCCATTGAAATCGCCCCAGCCAACAACAGCTGCTGCTTCCTCTTCCACTGGTGCCGAGGGTCATGGCAAGGGGCCTGGCGAGGGGTCAGGAGCAGAGGCTCTGCATGTGGATCGCATAAGGAACTGCGATATATTCGTGGACGCACACGATCTTTACTTTTACGCAGACGTCAAGCTATACAAGTGAGTCACTGCCTTCCGCTTGGGGCACTCCCACGCGGGCGGAACTGCACCGCTATCTTTACGCATTTCGCACTACATACTTGCTCTTGCAACAGATTCCACAGCCGACGTTCCTTCGACTTGCGTGAGTTGAAGACGCTGACGATAAAGTACAACACTACCGAGAACCACTACAAGATCTGCCTGCGCTGCCTGCCCCTCACAGCGGGCAACCAGCAGGGAGCGGGCGGCGGCGATACGGCCAAGCCAAAGAGCGTGCGCAAGGAGTATATTGCCGCATTCCTGCATATGCCCACGCTGGCCGATGTCACTGGCGGCCGGATGTCGGACAAAGAACCGATGGTCCAGGAATGGAAACTCAAACGCATCACCGATCAGTGCCAATTGCAGCTCGACGGCCACGAGCGCACCTACAAGCTGACCAACCACTTCGGCTATGGTTTCGCCAGCAAATACAGCAGTCCGCTAAACACCAGTGAGGTGAGCCAACAGTGTTTGCGTCTCCGGTTTCTAGTAAATTTAATGCAAAGGTTTCTCCCCAGCTGGACAGGGCCACCTGTCGCGTGGCCGAGCCGCAGCGCACCAGTCCCATCCAGCGACGCCAGGAGCGCCTGGTGGACGAGATGAAGCGCTTTTCGCGCGAGCAGTACAAAATGAACTTTGTGGAGTTACAGGTTCCGTCCGGCCACCAGAATCCTTTGCGCTTCAAGCCTAAAATATTCGAGACTTCCATGACGCAGGAGCAGGCGCATCTCCTGCACAACATTAGCCGGAAGCAGGAGCCCGAGCAACAGCAGCCTTGCGACAGTCTGCGTCAGAACGAGATTGACTGCGGCCTCATTAGCATCCTATTGGCCATATGCTACGATGTGAGAACGACCAACAACGAGCCGACGTGCGAGTCGGGCTGGACGCGCAGCATTTTGTGCCCGCTGTACTGCTACTTCGAGCAGTTCGATAACTACAGGGACGTGCTAGTGGCCTTTTTGCGACGCGTCATCACCTACCCGCTGTACCGCAACTTTGAGCTGGGCCGTCACTGCGTGCGCGATGCCATCGAAGTCCTGAAGGGCGGCCGGAACTGGTTGATTAACCAGCTGCTGCTCACGCACCAGCAGTTTGCCGTCGGAGAACCCACTCGTGATAGCTTCAATACCTTCTACTTGGAGGACTACATCCGGTATGTGACCAGTCCGAGCGCCTGCAGCGACGAGCACCTGCGTCTCCTGGCCCGCAACCTCAAGAACGTGCTGATGGACGTGAGCAAAAGACACTTGGGACTGGGAATCGGCGACATAGAGACTGAGCTGTTCAAGGAACTGATGCAGGAGATGCGCATTGAGGCGGGCAGCGAGGGATCCTCGCCGCAGCAGCCGGGCCACGGCGACGACGAGACCGATCTAGAGACCGACGCTTCGGGGCAGGAGGATGAGACAACGACTGATGATGATAGTGTCATAACCGACTCCTTCGACAGCACAGACATGGACATGCGGCTGATCGAGAATGAGATTGTGTACGAGGATGATGAGGAGGATGAAGAGGACGAAGACGACGAGGATGAGGACGAGGACGGGGCAGATGACGACGACGATGATGATGATGATAGCAACTCCTCCACCACCACCAGCAGTGAGGCGGAGGGAAACAGCGTCATCGAGCAGTGCAGCAACAGCGAGACTGCCGCCAGCATCAGCACCACTAGCACCAAGTAAACAGTCCCAAAGCCCCGAGCCCGGCAAGTCCTGCTCCTGCCTTGCCTAAAGCAAACAAGCAACACAACCAACTTAATGTCAAAGAACGGAGGCTAAACAGTGATTACTTTTACCATTAAAAAACAAAAACAAAAGAAGTAAAAAACTAAAAAAAAAAAACAATCAAGATAATCAAGCAAAAGATGTAAATTTACACCGAAAATAATTTACTTAAATCTTACTTGTACAATAACTTCTTAATGAGAAACAAACTCAAAGATTTGTTCACGCCAAATGCGAAAAGATATTTCAATATTTTTTCCTCTTTGATCTACAATAACTTCGATTATATTAACTACACATACACGAGAAAATCAGAACCTTAGCATTTAGTGTACGAAACATTTGAATTTTGAATTCAGAAAAGCGAAATCTAGTTGTGCATTTTGTATATACATGTATCTATTGTCACATAGATATCGATATTGTTGGTGCTGCAAGCAAAGAAAACAAATAAAAAGAGAATGAAAGAATTAAATTAATAAATGTGGAAATGGAAGTGGAAAGAAAAACGTAACCGAAGCCGAAAGCTTACATTACATTCTTGGGCGCCAGTCACCTACGACGAGGAAATAGTTAAAGTTGTACAAAGAACTGTGTAGGTAAAAACCAAAACAAAGAAATTAACATTTAAATAAAGTATATTTTTTTCAAACATGGACTTTAAATGAAGAGTAAACAAGAAAGGAAGCTAACTTCGGCACGCCGAAGTTTGTATACCCTTGCAGATTGGTTTCGATGTTTATATTATAGATTTAAATGCTGAAAACACTCACAAAACAGAGTTTCATTAAATTTTTCCTATACTTGTTATGTTTACAGTTTGACAGTTTCAGTTTTACATTCACAGCTTTACATATCTTATACATTTACCGATCGCTTCTATGGCAGCTATATGATATAGTTGTCCAATTTTTATAAAATTTATACCAAAATTCTAGAATAATAAAAAAAGCTTATATCTGAGAGTAGATAAACATACGTTGAAAAACATAGAAGCTATAATTTATTTTGAAAGCAAAATCTAAATTTTTAAATTTGTTTTCTGAATTTTAAACATTTTTTTCGGATGTTTTACAATTCTTCTACATTTTTTTAAAATTTTTCTACATTTTTCTGAATTTTAAAATTTTTTTTTCTGAATTTTTAACATTTTTTAGATTTTTTATATTTATTTAAGAATTTTTTTAGAATTAAACAATTTTTTTTTAAATATTTTAACTGCCAAATTTGAATTTGAATTTAAC